CAAACAAAACCAGCTAGAAATTATAGAAAGGCCACAGTGTTTCTCCTAACTAATGCTGCAACTATTTATCACCGCAGAGAATGAGATAAAGACTGAGGAAAAACCTTGATATCCTCGTTGGAGACACCGTAATCCAAGTTGGAAATGTAGAGCTTAGTTCCAGTCTCGATTGAGGAACCGCCAATGCCTGCCGATTGATGCCCAAAAGCCGCCGCCACAGACGCGTCAGTCGCGAAAACGTCGTTCTGCCACATGGCGTCATGAGCTTGTTGTTGTACCGGCTGTTTGTTCCTCAGAGAAGAAACGAAAAGAGATCTCAGCTTTTTTGTTTGTAAAAACCCTAAGGAATTTCTCTGATCTGGAAGGAAGATGTAAAGGAGATAAAATCAGTGGCTGACCCTTGAGTACGGAGCCGCTCTGTTTCCTACGCGGTTAGCAAATCGGCGAGACGGACCGGAACCGGTACCACCGAATACGCGACCACCGCTACTACTCCCACCGTTGCCTCGGCCACGAGATCCCGTAGGTTTTCGATTAGATTTGATGATATCATCAAGTGACATATCCAAGCCACCTGACATCTTCGCCGGATCTTTATCTGCTTCAGAGATCGACAAGGAAGAAGAAAGCAGCTAGGGTTTTATTGCAGTGAGTAAATGAAGATTAAAGTTAAACCCAGAAAATTGGGGAAGAAGTTTAACCTAGAAAATCAACGGGGATCCTCCCATTGCAAAATCTCCCCGTCGGCTGATGCGTGTCGAAATCTCTACCGTACGGAAGCCGATCTGCTCTCGCCAAGGTCCCGAGAAAGTTGTTGGTTCCACAATCTACAGAAGAATCTCCGAACACGAACAAAGCAGGGACACGAGTAAAAGACGTCGACGCAATCGCCGGAGATTGGGCTGTGAACGGCGGCAATGGAGGAATAAACGGCGAATTCGAGGAAGATTCAGAAGGAAACGGAGAGATCCTTGTAGATAAGTGATGATCGGCGATCAATTCGGGTCTCGCGGAGATTATCAGAGCAGAGAAAACAAGAACGAGAATTTTGATCGACATTTTCTCTGACGAGGGAAAGTGAGAGAGAGAGCGGGAAAATGCGTAGTGGCTTTTGCAAGCTTTACAGAGATTAAAACGGCATCGTCTCAAATCAGCTTACAAGAACGAAGACTTTATTTATAAAGACTGCGACACATTGAACCGACTAAACCGGATATTAGAACCCCAATTCCCGGTTCGGACGATCAAATTTCGATTTAACGTACATAATCCACCGGTTTACCCGATTTAATCAGTGATTGTACTTGTAGATTTTGGTCTCGAATCGATGATCCTCTCTCCACCATTGATGAATCCCATGAGCTTCTTTAAAATCCCTAGCCGGACTCCAATTCACGGTTAAAACCGACGACGGAATCAGATGCACCGGTCCTTCCGTGTTCATTCCTCCGCCAACAATATCCACCAGCAAACCGCCCAACGAGTTCTGCGTCGCTAACCTCTCAACAAACCCGACCCCGAGCTCCTCCATCTTGTTACGGTGCTCGAAGTAACCGAGATACTCCGAGCACAAGTGGTCCCCTGGATTAACATACAGCCGCGGAAACCAGTCGGATAACGCCGTAAACGGGTCGGGCGGTGCGGGTAACGCGAGTCGGTTTTGGTTTTGGCTGTGCTGTTGAGTGGCCTTTTTGGCTAGCGCAAGTCCAGCTGTGATCACACTTCCTGCAAGAATTTCGGTTTGGTTCACAAATTTCGGTTTAAGAATTTCAATTTGGTTTTGTTTAGTTACTAACCGGCGATGCGAATGCCGTGTTTGATCCGCTTATCCTTGATTCGTTCGATAGGAGGAGACAAGAACGGAGGATTGAAGGCGAAGCACTCCGGGAAAACTCCGGTTCGAGCGACGGTTTTCCCGGTTAGCAAAGCCATGGAAGCACCGAGAGAATGACCAGCAAGCCAAACGTTCGTGGCGCCAACGGAATTAACAATGCTTCTCACGGCTTGGATGGCTATCTCAAACCTTGTGGTCGTGTGGAGTCCGTTTTTGATGATGTGTAGGTCTAGCTCGATGTCACGGGAGATCGAGTCCGCTTTTGTAACGGTTCCTCTGAACGCGATTACATAACGCGGGATCAGTTCTTGGGAGGGGTGTTGCTGCGGAGGTTTGTACTCGTAGATACCACCGAATATGGAGAAGTCAGCGTCGTCGACGAGCTTGCGAATGAGGCGGAAATGGAAAAACTCTGACCATATTGGGGATAGAGCTAGTTCGGGACCGTCTCTTTGTAGCTGACGGTCACGTTCTGCTACATAGATTCCTTGGACCAGTGAAGCAGTTACGGATCTCCGATGTTGTTCATTTGCCCTGCAGAATCAAGAAGACAAGTACAATTTTTCCGGTTTTGTATACACAAGTGCACAAATTGAAGTAGGCTTAGCTATAGACTGAGCAAAATGTGCCAAAACATTAGCCAACTCTCAACAACAATTTAAGAATCAACAAAACAAAACCACAAAATAAGCAAAGAGAAGATACAAACCAGTCTATCGCTGTCAAGTGTAATGGTCCGGTGAGGCTGAAATCATCTCTTTCGCAGATCATTATTACTCCTTCCTTTTTCTTCTGTTTAGACATTTGAAAAAAAAAAAATGTTGATCAGATGCTAAAAATGTAGTAGTTATGCTTTAAAATTAGAGATAAGAAATTAGATGTACAATTTGAGTCTAAAATCCTGAAGAAGGCGATGCTGAGCTTTAATTTAAATCGAATGAGAAACCCTAATCGTAATAATTAATTAGATTGTCAACTCTACAGAAAATTGCTAAACACTACTATTCAAATTTGAATAATCGCTTTTTAAGTAAACTATTTTGTAATGTCTAAGATATAAATAGAAAAACCCCCAATGCAAGTTCGATCTAAGGAAATGATATTTTCGAATTAATAATCAAATCAATCACAGAGACGAACTATCAGAAAAGAAAACAGAATGAAGTTAGAGACAAACCTTGAGAAAGTTGATTCAGATCTGGAGTTTGATTACTGAAACCAGTGATGTTTATAAAAAGGAGTAGTAATGGAGGAAGAGAAAGCTGTGGGGACGCTCTCAACTTAATTTCAGAAAGAAACGTTATAACTAGGATATCCACTTGAAAACGACATCGTCTCAGCCTTAACTTTTTGCCGTTTGAATCTAAACATTTGCTTTGCATGTTTGGTAACAAACTTGATATTGCTTTGTGCGTTTGGTAACAAATTTGATACTATTGTTTACTTTTTGACTTTCCCTTTCCTGGATTGAAGTTCAAAGAACAACTCTTTATACAAATAATCTTTCTTTTTTGTCTAAGGTTTTTGGATCAAAACTCAGGAAAAACAAAAAATTGCACCGACTGAATTATATAAATCGATTGATTTTAAAATCATAAGGATTATGATAACAATAGTACACAACTTCCCCCAACATTTTCCTAAAATCTGACTCTTATATAATCCTGTCTTGTTAATCTGAACTTATAATTTACGTACGTAGACAAATACATTAAACAGTATAAAAAAGAAAGAAAAAAAAAGGTAAGTCAGTGATGAATCTTCAGACTTCAGGAATCATATCCATAAGGATTATTGCTAGCCCAGTTCCACAAGTCCCTGCACATTTCTTCGATCCCGTATTTAGCCCTGCATTCATGTCACAGCTCACATTACGACATTTCTCTTGCATATTACCAACTTTTTTCTAGTCCAAAAACCCAAATTCTGAAGAAATACTTCTTTTGGCCAAAGTTAAATACTTTTTTTTATGTGGGAGACAATGAAACTTACTTCCAATTCAATTCACGTTCTGCTCTTTCCGTTGATGCGTAGACAACTTCAGCATCTCCTTGACGACGTCCAGCAATCACCAGAGGAATTTTCTGATCAAGAAATGTTTTAAAGTTTCAATCTTTAGCATAATTTATACAGCAGAAAATGACCAAGAACACAACAACACAAAAAGGCTCAGCTATTTTACCTTCCCGGATGCTTTTTCGAAAGCATCAACCATTTCAAGAACAGATGTTCCATTTCCAGTTCCAAGATTGTACACTTCACAACCTGAATATAACACACAGACACAGACCTATAGTCAGAGTTGAGAATGATTTCACAAAGAAACAAAAGGATTGTTATGATCAATACCAATCTTGCAATCTTCTAGCTTCCTCAGAGCGGCTATGTGTCCATCAGCTAAATCAATAACATGAATGTAATCTCGAACCTGAACAAACCAAACAAACGAACAAAGACAAAAATGAGATCAAAATGTAGAAAAAAAAACTCTTCTTGTTTATCATAACATAAAGCCATATATTCATACATACCCCTGTTCCATCTTTTGTGTTGTAATCATTTCCAAAGACAGTGAGATGAGGTCTCCTTCCAACAGCGACTTGTTGCACAAAAGGCATTAGATTGTTTGGAACACCACGAGGATCTTCACCAATTTCACCACTAGGATGTGCACCAACAGGATTGAAATACCTAAGCAATATGATCTTCCATTCCGGGTCAGACCAGTATACATCACGGCAGATCTCCTCAATGAATAGCTACAACAAGAACCAAACCATACTTTCAGATTCACAAACCATTTATACACTTCATTAACCAGAAAATTCAAGTGGGATTTTTGTTAAATAACCACCTTTGTACGTCCATATGGGTTCAATGCAGAAATTGAAGACTCCTCTGTGCAAGGAACTTCTTTTGGTGAGCCATAAACAGTGGCTGATGATGAAAACACAAGCTGGAAACAGAGTAGTAAAAAGTAACTAATCATGAGATCAACACAAAGACAAAAGACATGTGGAGAAGAAAAAAAATGAGGAAAGATATAAATATATATACATTTTTGCAGTTGTATTGAGCCATAACTTCTAAAAGCGTAATAGTCCCAACAACATTATTATTGTAATACAGCAAAGGCTTCTCTACACTCTCACCCACTGCTTTAAGTCCAGCAAAGTGTATCACTGCATCAAACCTGTAAAATAATCATAATGCCATGTTCATCAATAAAGCAACACCCAATCATATGCACAACCAAAATTATTCTGATCATTGCTAATAATGAAGTGTAAAGGATAAAAGATAGGTTTTTTTCTCAACTAACATACTTTGTTTCTGAGAAAATCTTCTCAAGAGCAGGCCTGTCTCGGAGATCCACCTGTGATCAGAAAGCAAAACAATTATGTTTTAAGAAATCTTGTTCCAATAGCTTCTGATAGTAAGTAAACAAAACCATCTAAATTCTGATTAAAGACATCTCAATATCAGACAGATCATCATACTGTACATTGTGAAATACAGAAATAGACATTGGGATAAATAATAATAATGTTATTTTACTCTTTCACATGGTGCTGATATTAAATTCTGATATTCTTTTTGGATACGACCAACAAAAAAGATTGGCAAATAATACCCAAAACATTTGCCAGAACTGTGGAATCAGAACAATCTTCGAAAAAATTGATATTTTATTCCGAGAATTTAGTCCCCAAATAAAAATCAGAAAAGAGAAACGGCCTCCATTCGCAGTCAATTCGATGATTAACAAGTCAAAGCATAATCCCAATTTCGTCAAAATCGTGAATTTATTCCAACTTAAGCAATAGAGAATTCGGAAAACGCAAAATTCTTCAATAACACGTTTCATAAGCAAAAATTAAGCGAACCTGATGGAAGGAGAGACGGTCGCCGTGTTCAGCGGCGAGTTTCTTCACGCGCTGGAGAGAGACGGCTGAGGAATTATCGAGATTATCGACAACTACGGCGGAGTAACCGCCGGTAAGCAGTTGAAGCACCGTGTGACTACCGATGTATCCAGCACCGCCGGTTACCAAAACGTTCTTAGCCATCATTTACGAGAGCTTAGCGAAGGATTTAGGGAAGAAACTTTTTTTTGTTTGTAGAATATTTAAGAGAAATGTTTATTGTTTGTTTGGTTGTGGATTGTGATCCAGCGAAAAAGGGTTTTGGAGTTTTAATTTATATACAGAAACGGTGATGGTTACGTGATTTCACTAAACATGGAAATTTTGGAAAATTCAAGTTATAAACTTACGCTTATATTTATTTTATTATAATATAAGTTGACCTTAACACGTAAAAAAAAGGGAAATTTGGCAAAATACTCCACATTTACAGAATAGTTGTCCATCTACTCTTTTTTTGCCTAAACTTGTCCACTTACTCTTTATAAAAATTTAAACCCAATTTTAACCCTCAAATCATGTTTTAATAGAATTGGGATTAAATAATTAATTAAAAAATAAATAAATTAATTAATAAATAATAAAAAGTAAAGAGAAGTTTTAGTGTCGTCGACTCTTCTCTCCTTCAAACTTCTTCTTTACTACTTTTCTCCTTGTTGTATTATCTCATCTGCTTGTTTTTTCAATTAAGTAAAACTGCAAGTTTCTTAAGTGTCTCTAACCCTTGATTGTACTCGATTTCCATGTGCCACATGTTACATAGATTTGCAACATAGCAACTTAGAAGAAAAAACTGAAACAGATAATGGAAGAAAAAACTAGATAAAAGATAAGAAAAAATGGAGAGGAGGAAGAAGAACAATATGGAAGAAATGTATTTTTTTTCATTTTTCTGAGAAAAAAAATTAAAGGAAATGTTGTTTTTTCAAAAGATTTTAAAATATTCAGTTACCATTTTTACTATATTTTCTCAGATTTCCGTAGAAGATGCATTCTACCATTTCGTAGAAAACTGTGTTTAAGGTAGATTACAATTTCTACAAACGGTAGAAGGCAATGTTTTTCAGAGAACACACAATCTACAAATAGTAGAAGATAGTATTTTTAGTTGAACACGAATTCTTCATATAGTGGAAGAGAATGTTTATGGTAGAATATAAATTCTACCGGTGGTAGACAACCATGTATATCGTAGAACAAATGTTTTACAGTTCTACCAAGTCGTAGAACATTGAATATTTAGTAGAAATCAAATTCTACGATGGTAGAAACTATAACAGTCGGTAGATTTTACGCTCTACGGTGGATAGATGTGAGAGCATACAGTAGAAGACATATTCTACTTTGAATATTGAATTTGGTAGAAGGAAACTTTATTTATTTTTCTGAGGTTCAAATTTCAACAAAAAGCTTTAAAAATATTTTCTAAAATCTTAGAATCACTTTACTGAATTTATTTAATTTTTTGAAATTTTAAAAATATTTATTTCATATTGTTAGCATATACAAGGATATTATAGTCAAAAATTGGTAAATTTCAAAAAAGGTGTAAAGAGACAAGAGTTCTCTTTTTTTAGGGTATATTCACAAATCTCCCTAAAAAAAACGTAGATATTAAGAAAAAGAAAACCGAAAGTGCATGTGGCAGAATCTGGTGTGGATGTGGGGAGTATACGAGTGTTTCAGTCTTTCAGTTGTCGAAATTGCATTGAAAAAGTCTTTTTAATTTTGACACCAGAAAGAAGAAAATAAAAAAAAACGTATTCTTAATTAAGCTCAAGGAAATGGTAAATTAAAGCTTTGTTTGCTAATCAACTGCTGGACAATATTTAAGAGAAATGAACCAAAACTGTGGAAATTATGTTACAAGCCACAAATTCGTCCTTGACCAAGAAAAGACCCACAAATTAGTATGCATTTTGCCAACCCAAGTATATTAATAAGAAACGTAAAATGTATATTTCTCGTGTTTTCCTTTTTGTGACTATTGGTAATGTATTCTTAATCAAACAACTAAAAACAAAATTTGGGTTAAACGTGCAAAATGCATATTATATTATTATCTGCATAACAAAACTAGTGTTTTGCTTTGAATTTTTGGTCAACAAACTAGTGTTTGTTAATTTTAATTTCCATATAGTATTTTGTTTTATGCATTTCAGACTCCAAAATACATTTCTCCTAAAAATTGGGGGTGACGAGATTTGAGAATATCTATGGATATTTTGTTTACTTTCTTTTGTTGTTATTCTTCTATCCAATTCTTATCTTTATCATATATCTTAAATTGATAGATAATAGAGGAGTAGAGTATTTAGTTAACAATAAATTAAAAACACATCTCTATTATATAATAAGTTCGACTTAGAGAGAAAGCCCATCCAAGTGTTTTTGGTGCATAATTTGAACACCATAACATAGTCCACATATGAGCATAACATATGCATACAATATTTATTAAAAACTTTAAACTTAATAAATATGAAATGGCATGTGACATTACCAGTTAATCATATATAAAGAGTTATGTGTCAAGAATGAATTAACCAATATTTTTAAGTTTGTATAAAATAACAAAAAAAATAATTGAACATATAAAAATTGGCTGAGCTAACTAGGAACACCCAAAAAAATCAGATTATCATAAGGCACTCAGTCGGACTCTAAATCCTCCAAAATTTTAAGTTTATATAAGATGGAATAACATAATTGTGTTCCTCAAACGTTAAATATTCATTATCATCGTTTGAAATATATGATCTTCAATGATCAACGATATCACGTCCCAGTTCTCATGTCCTAATTCTCATGAACCCCACCATAAATCATCATTATTAGCATTATAATGTTGGAAAAAATTGAACCCCACCATAAATCATCATTATTAGCATTATAATGTTGCATCTTTTTTCCAATAAAATTTTGGGTTAACATGACAAAAAAATTCATGCAACCACAAAGACAATACTTCTTTAGTATTAGTAGATATGATATTCCTAATAACCACATGCAGTAATGTGATGAATCAGGTAACGACGATCACATCATCTGGTAATTGGTAAGATAGGTTTTGTTCAAATCCCATAAAACAATAAACAATAATTAGAACTACTACCAAATGAGAAAAATGATAGATAGAGAAAAAATGAAGAAAATGATTATTATGTAATGCAATTTAAGTGAATAGTTGGAAAACCAAATAAGAAAGTTAAATTAATTAAATGCTTAATATTTTTTAAGTTTCCACTTTCAAAAAAATCATTTAATCTTTCATATAACATTAATTATGTAACGACCTATCAAAAGTGTATGAATAAGGTTAATATTGACATCTCTAGTATCTATGAAAATTTGTGGACGTATATGTATACAAAATATTAATAGAATATGATAATATCATAATGAATGGTAGCCATACTAGTTTACGTTAAACAAAATTGCCTAAAAGTTATAGTTGTTCTTGCTTGCTTAAAACAGTATTATTATATGTGAGATTCTTAGTAGCATGGATCCGTGTAATTTCTGAGCAATTGATAATTTATATTATATAGCATAAAACAGTGATACTAAGTCATGGATTATTGAAATCTTTTGCAATGGTAAACTTTTCTAATATAGAGAAAGTTTTTAAGTAGTTATTATGTGAAAAGGTAAACAATTATTAAAAACTTTCAAATTAATAAATTATGACGTGGCATGTGACACAACTAATGACTCATACATAAATGTGTCAATTTACGAATTGGCCAACTTTTGTAAGTCTATATATATAAAATAACCAAAAGTTGCGAGTTTTCTTCATTTAGTATCCTAACATTACTGGCTTTTGATCAAATATAATCCAGTTGGAATAACCAAAAAACTGAAAATATTGAATTGATTATCTTGCTTTGGCATTTGACTAGTTATAGATTGAAAAGAAAGAAAAGTGTCTCACAAACTTGCGCCTCGATGGCTTGAAAAAGCTCATTAATTTCTACAAGGGAAGAGACAATCTTGTATAAGCATCAAGTGCTTATATCTTTGTGCAAGCCTTTATTGCACTAAATCTCTGTATCTCCTCGAGAGATTAAAGGGTAAAATGAATTACACCACTCCCTTCCGGTGAACACACAAGTGACAGCCAATATTCAATATTTCCTTTTTCAGCTAGTTTTCAAGAGAGAGATGAATGTTCTCTACACTAAATCCAAACCAAACTGCATTAGTTCTGCAGATCACATAAATCAGTAAGGGAATCTTGTGGGTCTTCTTCCCCACTGGACCACCTGATGTTGCTGGTGATGGTGATAATGATGCAAGCCAATGCCATTGTTGCTTACATTTCTTCCCTCGTCTGCAACCCTTGTCATTCTCATTCTCTCTTCCTTCAAATTCGCAAACCGAGAATCCAGTGTCTGTGGCCATTGCCTCTGTCCTCCATTTACTTGCTTCTCCTCTGTCTTCTCCTCCCTTTGCTGCTGCTGCTGCATTGTTAACTTTTAGTAACTCCACCAATCAGTCACTTATAAATATGGTTATGGATGCCAAGAGTTGTAACTGTCTAAATCTAGTCTGTTCACTACTCAAGAAAGATATTCAACAAGAAATTAAGATCAGATGTAAAAATTTGATTGGGCTGCAACACTCAACACGTCATCCCACTGCCATTGTTTCTTTCTAAACTACAGTCTCTTTCAAGTTCGACCATGTCCATGCTAACTAACCGAAACCAATCTAAAACAAAAAACCATTTAGATAACCTGCAGCACAAGCAATATATGGATGCAGCAAGAAAGACACAAAACCGCCTCATGAAGGTTTAAGAAGCTGAGCTAATGCTACCTAACAGGTGGATGTGAATAACTGAATAATATACCTTTGCGACAAACCCTCTGTGTGCAGATCTGTTCTGAGCTGGTGGTGTAACAAACCTTCACAAAAGAAGAAGAAAAAAAGGTTGAGAACTGGAAAAAGGTTTGCAGGGCCAAGCCACCTTCAAAGAAACACCGGAAGCCTAGAGTATAGATCAAAGTACTGATACACTGAGTTCTTGATAATACACTATTAATTTCTTACCACCATAGTTAGAAGTACCTAGAAGAAAGCCATGTTATATAAGGATAAATAAAGAGTCTGGCAAAGAAACACTCCATGATCCCAAAAATGTATGTAGCCGGCTCATGCAGGAATGAATGAATGAATTCTAAAGGCGCTATTAATAACTCTATTTTTCCCAGTAGCTAAACGAAAAAGTGGCAATTCTTGAAATTTTCTAAGCGCATTTAGTCTTGGAAGTCATCAAGAGTGCTTCTGGTCCCAACAAAGCAACTTCTTTAAGACCTCATCAGGGATTAAGAGCAAGAGAGCTTCAAAGATGATTCATTATGCAACAAGTAAGTAATTATGAAACTTTCAATGCGGAAGAAGATCCTCATGCTGTCCTAGTAACCGTACATCTACAGTTTCAATGTCACAGCAATAGACCAACTACCAACTTGCTAAATCTGACTTCAACCAAAGACATAGAGAGTCAGCAAAGTCTCTGCTCAATTTTCTTTACCTAAAATCCACCAACCCATGAATGTTTAGATACTCCTCCAAATATCCCCCTTAAACTCAACTAGATGATTCTGAATTGCTATCTTATGACAATTCATCATATACGAAGGGAATAACGAAACAAAAATATACAAATTCGTGTTGCTTTCCACAGAAACACCCAATGATAAGGAGCTTAGAAGCAGAGGATAATCAAGCAGCCTATACCTTGATTGATCCGTGTTAGTCATCCTTCCAGCATTATAAGGTCTACCACGTTGCTGGGTAGCAGAAGCGGCTTTACGAGCAACGGCTGTGGTTTCAGGAAACTGGTTTCCATTGAAATTAGACCTTCTCTTAGCAAAAGCACCCTGAAATTAGTCAGAACAAAGCCATAAGGCAAAGAAGCGCGGACAAAAAAAATTTGACAGAGAAGATTAAAACAGAACAATACTAACCTGTCTAACATCAGACCTTGAGTCCATATAACGCTGCGCTTTTGCCGTTTTCTTCGCAGCACCATTTACACTCTCTTTTTTATTCTGCTCAAAACAATTATGACATACCAATGGTTCAATGAAGAATCAAAGAAGACATCAAATTCTTTCAAAAAGTTCAGTAAAAAACATGTTAGCACAGAGAAGCTTAAGTTTCTTACCGATGCTCTCTGTTTCTTGCCTTTATTCACATTAGTATTATTACTCTTTGACATCTTGATAATAGCATCTATACGCTCACAAGGAAATATGAATGTATCATTAGCAATAAACAAGGATGATGAATGTTTGTATGAGTAGAAGAGAAAAAAGCATAAACCTCACCTAAAGACATGTCCATTTTCTTCTCCGTGAGAGCAACGGTCTCTGTAGTAATAGGTTTTTCAGTCGCCATCTGCACAATCAGAGTGAACACAAATTAAAGTCAAAAATCGGACAATGGCGTATAAAAGGAGAACGATTTACTACATAAAACCTAATACTCTGTCCGAAATGAAGTTACGTAGAACGATTACTAGACAAAAAACAATCAGTAAGTTCTTAAATCGAGCAGGTTCAACGAAATTACGAAGCAAGGAGATGTAAAAGAGATAACAAACCCTGATTCACGAAACAATCAAACAGAATCTAAAGTCATTCGAATGGATGAGAAGCTAAGAGATGAAATCATTACCGATTAACAGGAAAGATTTTTCGATCCAGCAGCGACGAGTAAACCCAGAGATAAATGAGTCAACTCGTAAGTACTTAGAATTAGAAACAGCAGGTTTATATAATTCATCTACCGAACCGAATCTGGCAATTATTACCAAAGGTAAATACGTGCCGCATTCTCATTGGGAAGAAGATCGAGAGCATATTAATAACCAAATTGGTTATTGAGCTGAACCGGTTTGGTTAGGCTCATTGGTAATTGGTTGTGGTTTAGTTGGACAAGTCGTACCGTTCTCAAAAGTCAAAACGAGTTTCTTCATTCTTGTTCCTCCCGCATCACTCTGTTTCAGTCTCTGTTTCTTCGATCGTAATTCGTGTTCTTGAGGGTGTGAGTGTTAGAGACGCGTGTTTGGTTGATCGATTCGTGGTATTAAGCGCAACAATTGATATGATGATATCAAGAGCTCGGGTTCCTCTCGAATTAATGGCGAATAGCGAATGCACTGTTCGAAGTCTTATGCAGGCATTGGGAGGGAGAATTATATCGGGAAACATTTGCAATTATACTGGAATTCTTTTTTTTTTTTTTTTTTTTTTTTTGTTGGGCAAACACTGGAATTCATGCAACTATGTTACTTTGATGAAACTCAGAAGTTTGATAAATATGCCCTATGCAAGTATAGTGTTCGACGAAATGTCGCAGAGAAAGTATTATCCGGGTGAAACTGCATTTTTTCCATGGAATTGCTTGAATGAGACGAGTCAAGAGAGAAAGACCCATTATTCATGCAAGCCCAAAGATCTTATAACCATAAGAAATTTGGATTTTTTATCTTTTTAGTTGTGTGCTTTCTCGTCAAAGCATTGCTAAAGGGTATGTTTGATGTTTCAGGACTTTCATTAGTATTGTGACAAGTTATCCAATTTCTATCGTTACCCGCCAGTTTATTTTTTTTTGTTAGTTATCTCCATTCTTCATTTATCATTGCAGTCCTAGGTAGGACTTTAAGATCTCTGCTCATTATTTAGCAGTTCCAGTATGAACTTAAGATCCCACTTTCAGTTGATGTAGACTTATATATGCTAGGAACTTAGGATTATGGTTTGGAACTTTACACTTCTGATATTTTGTTCTTTGTCTTCTGAGTAGTACATTATAAACACAAGTTAATGTTGGCCTTTCACTTTTGCATTCTTGCTAATGGAAAGATGTGTTCATTTCAGCGGACTGGTCATTTGTTTGGTGTTTGGTGTGGACTGATGGACACAAAGGTTGACTGCTCATAAACTATATGTTCATTTCCACACCACCATCGCTAGAATATGAAATTCATAATTGTTAGTTCTTTCTTTGGCCTTCTTAATTACTTTTGTGACTATTTGGTTTCCTAGTTGCAATATCTTGTGTGGCAATAGTGCTGTAGTTACATGGTTTGACATTAGGGTGACAAAAGACTTGATGGGTTTCTACCACTCTCATGTGGGAACTAACTAAAATTGTAATTTGGATGTTCTTGATCATTCATTTTGAAATGCCATCTAGTTGTCATATTATTGAGAGACATAAATGGTGGTCCGGACTTAAGTTGACCTAGACTAAGAATAACCAAAGTCTTTCATGTGGGAAAAGAGTTGTATCAGATTAGAATAGTCAAACTTGTAGGAATTGGGTAGAATTTTCAATGTGGGACATGCATTTATCGAAATTCTTATCATACAGTCTTTTCATGAGGAAAATGAATGGACTGAGATAACTTTGTGTTTTGTACTTAAGCCTGTATTGCAGGAGCCAAAACTAAGATAAACAAAACAAAAGAAAAACTGTGGAGACAGCTGAAACCTGGGTGAGTGGTGAAGTTATGTCGATTGTTGTGGATATCAACAAAGTATCAGATATGGATATCCATGACAAATTGAAGAAGGCGGCTCAAGATGGGGATATAGAAAGACTCTATGAGTTGATAACTGAAGATCCAAACATTCTAGGTCATTTTGATGAAGTTCCTTTTTGTGAGACTCCACTACACATTGCAGCTGCAGAAGGGCAAACTCATTTTGCCATGGAACTAATGACCCTTAAGCCGTCACTTGCTTCGAAGCTAAACGTGTCAGGTTTCAGTCCGATGCATTTAGCCCTGCAAAACAACCATACGCAAATCGTGAGAGGGTTTGTGGCAATCGACAGCAGCTTAGTCAGCATCAAGGGAAGAGGAAGGATCACTCCTTTGCATCATGTGGCTCGCACGGGTGATGCAGAGTTGTTGAGTGAGTTCTTGTTTGCTTGTCCTTCTTCGTTAAACGATTTGACGATTAAGTGTGAGACAGCTGTGCACATTACCGTAAAGAACCACCAGTTCAAGGCATTTAAGGTTCTATTGGGATGGGTCAAGAGAGTAAACAAGGAGGAAATCTTGGATTGGAAGGATGAGAATGGTAACACAGTCTACCATATTGCTGCATCGATAAATCAAACTGAGGTAAATGTCTCTCTTATCAATTAGTTTCTATTTTTTCCTCAAAATTCTTGTTGAGACATTGCTCTTGGCCCATGGAAATAGATAGATATGCTCTCATGCCATCATTGCTGTGATAGAACTGGCAATAACGTTTTTGCTCTAATACCTGGGACTTTGCTTTCTTCGATTTACTTCTTGCGAAATGAAAGTACATGAGTTTTTCTGGTAGCCGATAGTTAGGAGGTTATCTAATGAGCTTAGTATATACTTGTTGATGTCTCATATTGTTATCAACCTAGGATTCTTCATCCTTGAACTATGGATGAGCTGTGCTCGATTTTTTTGCAGGTCATTAAGTTGCTGCGTAAAACCGTTAAAGTAAAAGCCAAGAACCTGGATGGCAAAACCGCGATGGATATACTTCAAATTCACCAATCTTCTTGCTTCCCCCAGACAAGAAGACTTTTCTACAGAGCTAAAGATATACTACTTTGTAATCACACAACGACTCTTGTGGAATATCTGAGCAGAAAACCGTCGTTTATGGAGAAACGTAAAACTCTCTTGGGGATGAGTAACTTGAGCATGACTAGTGACATGTCTCTAAACTCCAGCAACCGCCACGATGCAATACTTGTGGTGGCTGTACTCATAGTAACAGCTACATACCAGGCTGCTCTAAGTCCTCCTGGTGGATTTTGGCAGGATAGTTCATCAGATACTAAGCATAACAATAGCCACGTGGCTGGGCAGATGACTATGACTTCCTCCAATGCCTTGTACTTTAATGTCCTCAACGGGTTTGCCTTCTTATCATCTCTATATGTGATCATAATCCTCATAATGGGACTCCCCATGTGGAGGTTAATCTATGCTGCAATGGTGGCTTTATGTTTCGCAATGTTAGCATCATACAGCACTATATTCCCGATTCTACATGGCGATTTCGAAAAGATATCATCGTTAATCTGCTTCAATGCATTCCCTTTGATTATCGGAGCCATCATGTATACTACTTTCGTGGCATTTGCTTTTGATAAACATCGCCGGCACGGAGTGGACTTCCCGGCGAGCTGCTTCAGCTCATATGATGCATGGCATCATTATCTTGTCTTATTCTGTGGAATTTGTTTTATCGGTTTTGTTTTATCTTTTCTGAAGTTTTAATATCGAACTAGATGAGTACCCGCTCTACGCCCAGGTTTTTCTGGTAGACTATTTCAATTTATGTATTTTTACAGTTTTGTGAAAACAATTTTGATAATGCTATTTACAGTACAAAGACATAGATACTTTACTATGTATATACTGTGCTAAAGAAAGACTACTTTGTGGTTCCACAACGACGTTCAAGTACTTCTCCGTTTTCGACTATTCTCTGAATCAACGAACATTGGACTATTTATTTGTTATGGCAAACAAAAACAAATTTTTTCTCAAAACACTTTTGTTAATTGCTAGACATACAAGTTAGTTTAGTGTTACCATAACACCACACTTTTCTAATGCCCAAACCTTATCAAGAGCTAAAATCTTTAGAAAAAGGAAAAACATATATAAATAAAAGTTTGCTATGCTTTCTTCTAAGAAAATTCTCATCCGTAACCATTGTTTTCAGTCTTAAGGTCCAACAGAATTCAAGGATATCAGAATTCAATGGTCTCATTCTCTCGTACTTATTGATTCTGCTCAAATTACTGAGTCCACCGGGAAAAATCAGAACCAAGTACATGTTTGTATCCGTAATAACTGTTTCTCGTTTTCATTGTTTGGGTAAGAAGAAAGAAAAAGACAATTTTATTTGATAAAAAAAAAGGCGAGAGGGAGATTTAGACTTCTAGTTGTCACCATAGATCCACTTCTCAGCGTTATTGGTGTAAGAAACAAGTTCTTGAGGCTTGAACCAAAGATTGATCTCATCTTTTGCCGTCTCTGGTCCATCACTTCCATGGATTATGTTCCTGCAATTTCACATTCTCAATAACCAATACCAAAATCTTGATCATGTCCCTATAAAGTCGACTAAAACAGAACATACCTCCCAACAACAACTGCAAGATCTCCACGGATAGTTCCAGGCTCAGATTTTTGAGGATCGGTGGCTCCAATCAGTTTACGTCCGTATCTGATCACTCCTTCTCCTTCCCACACCTAAAACGCAGCCATTGTCATGATTTTTTAAAAAGTTTTGTTTTCAAATTACAAAAGATGAGTAGAAACTAAAGAGTTTTAGTTTCACTTACCATGGCGATAACAGGACCAGAGCTAAGGAAGTCACACAAGCCATTGAAGAAAGGTCTTTCCTTAAGATCATGGTAATGCTTCTGAGCGAAATCCTTTGAAGGAACAACGACTTTGATGCCAACAAGCTTGAAGCCTTTACGTTCGAATCGAGAAACGATCTCTGAAATCTGGTGGTTCATGAGATAAGAATATCAATAAGAAACTTAACATAAACCAATCAAGACTAATCAGAAAATTAAGCCTTTTTTATTTTTACCAGTCCTCTTTGAACTCCATCAGGCTTGATAGCAATGAATGTACGTTCCATCTGATTTGATAAGAAAACAAAATTCAGCGATGAATAACATAAATCGCAGATACATAAGAGGAACAACACAAACAAATGGATGAATTCTAATTACCTCAGCAGCAAGAACCTCTTGATCTTGAAGCATCAAGGCTATAACAGAAACAATCATAAGCAAGGGTCAATACTTAAACCGCATTAAGTATTCCTAGCTTAAGTGTGAAAATTTCGGAATTTTATCATATCCTAATCAAATCAACTTTACAGTAACCATGTGATTGATATAAAGATTCGGCTAAAACCTGCAGCAGGTAGAGCTACGAGTCCGGTGAGCCAATTCTTTGAGGCGGCACCAGAGCCTGAAGATCTTGCAAAGTTAGATGCATAGAGAGGGATCTTTCCAGATGCAGAAACTGCTGCTGCTGCACCAATGGCTCGTCCTTCTGAAAACATAAAAGATCCAAGTTAATCCTCAATCCTCAGATTACGAATGAGAAATCATTAGATCTTGAATTGTACATATGAGATCTCAAATTCAGGTTGTTGTTTGTAATCACAGAGGATAATTCTCATACTCCGAAGAAATTAATCAATCAGATCAAATAATCACTGAATCGATCTCACTAAATTAAACATTTGAATCCATTTTCTTAAATCCATAAACGAAAACGAATCCAGAATCAAATTTCGCGATTTCACAGATTTAATCAGTCAAATCGATAGAGGAATCTAAACCACAGGTGATTCACGAAGCTTTATCTTCAGATTTTGTCCAGGAAAAACAATCGGAAAGTGAGGAGAAGATTAACGTACCGGAGAAGAAACGAGCATTCTTAGCTGAAGAAAGAAGAGACCTCGCTGCTTTCGAAGCAGATCTGCAGATTTGGGAGCTCATTCTTTGTTTTTTCAGAGAGAAAAGTGAAAAGGAGGAGTGAGAGTGATGAAAGTGATACTGAGGCGTCGGAAACTGTGAAGATGATGAGATTTGTTGGGAGGATTTTATATCCACGTGGTTCGGGTCGGGTTTTATCCAATCGGGTCAGAAGCCCTACCCAATAAAACAATCTGGTAGGTAGCTAGGCACAATTTTATGGTGGTTTACTGGTTAATTTGGTTTTGGTTCGAAGACTATGGTTCGAAATTTCAATTGTGGTTGGCTAATGTTTAAACTTTAATTACTTTGTGGTTGATCCAACTTTCATGTGTATGTGGATATCGATCAAATCAATACATTTAACGTATAAAATAATTTAAGATAAATTCAAATTAATTTTTCTATTGCGAAACATTCATTTTCAAACATTTTGTTCTAGTTTTGGATTGACTCATAACAATTTGTAGAGTGATGACCCTTTTTTGTTTTGATAACAAAAATGAATTTGATGATTTCTACAACAGTTTGTCATAATAATCTAATCCATTTTTAAAAATTTGATATTTTTCTAAAATACAGGAATACAATACCACATACACTTTCCTTTTTTAACTTATAATTTTGTTCAATTATTCTATATCTATAGACCATTTAACTAATAGATGACATAATAATCTAATCCATTTTTAAAAATTAGATATTTTTCTAAATATAGGAATACAATACTACATACACTTTCCTTTTTTAACTTATAAATTTGTTCAAGTATTATATCTCTATAGACCATTTAACTTATAGATGACATAATAATCTAATCCATTTTTAAAATTTTGATATTTTTCTAAAATATATAGGAAATACAATATCACATACACTTTCCTTTTAACTTATAAAATTGTTCAAGTATTCTATCTCTATAGACCATTTAACTTATAGATGACATAACAATCTCATCCATTTTAATTTTTTTGATATTTTTCTAAAATATAGAGGAATACAATATCACATACACTTAACTTTTGACTTAGATATAATTGTTCAAGTATTCTATCTCTATAGACCATTTTCTGTATATATGCTCCCTTTAACCATATATATTGAAGTTTAACAAAATAAATTAATACATATATATCTTGTTATAAATATTTATATGGTTGTCCATTATTAGGCTCATGTTCTAGAACATTATTAATTTACTTATTCCTTAAGATTTACTTGTTTTCCAAGATGTTGTACTCCTATATAAACTCCTCTAGCCGCTATGTCATGGAATAATATAACACCAATTTCTTTCTTTCTCTTCAATATTCCAACATACATGTATTAATTATTTTATGTAACAAAAAAAAAGTATTCACACACTTGTAATTCTATGCGGAAGAGAGGCAATCAAATCAAAGGCATATGCGGGTGGAAACTCGACAACACCTTCGTCTATATGAACGTCTTCGACAAATTGCCATATCTATACGAAATCAACAAATGTTTCATATATTATATAATTTATACTGATTTACGAACTTAAAATATTTTAATATATACTTATCCTTTTAAAACTGAGTAGTAATATATATTTACAATCTTTTGTAGCTGTAGGCAAGAAGAGAAGATGCATACAAGGAATAACCGAAATTGGAGAATCAAGTAATGGACTAATGAAGTATCCTGTAAGTCTCTTTTTCAATCTTCAATCTTCGAGAGTAAGTGTTTTCTCCCTTCGCAATCTCTTTCGTTTAATCATGATGCATGATTATCAATGCATATGTACAAATGATAGCATAATGCATGACTTTGTCTCTTGCGCTTACTCTTGGTCGCAAGTATACAAAAATGATCTATCTTTTTATCAATTTATTATTTAACAAAAACCATCATTATCTTAAATTGCTTTATATTTATTAGTTTTTTTTCAAAATTATATGGGATAAGAAATATAAATTTGAACTATCTCTATATTATAAGATCATTGTGATTTTCTCTTAATCTTGCCTATATTTAACCGTAATAACCAAATGTTCTTGAAACGGGTATAGATCTTAAAAGAGTGTTTGATATTTTTTTTTTAAAAAAAACTCATTTAATAATTTAATCAAGTCACAACATTTGGTTTCCTTACAAATTAAGAAAACTTTTTTTTTCCAAAAAGTCACATAAAAAGTTTTAGATTTGTTTTTTACTTAAAGTGTGGAAATTGAATTATATAATTTTTCTAAATTAAAATCAACAAATGTTTAACCAGAGAAATAATATTAACATTAATTATATAATTCAATATATAATATTACATTAATTAACCAGAGAAATCTATATCTCTTTTTTTTCCCAAAGATACTTGGTAAATTGTAGAAACTATTTAAAATTACTGTAAATACAACAATTCACACACTTCGTATTTGCCTTTAAAGTTTCGGTTTAAAGTTTTTGTGCAGCTTTTGGTATTTGTATTGAAATGGTAAAGATGAAGATAATATATTTTTTTTTGATAAAGTAGATGAAGATTACAAATCTAAAACTTTGAATGGATTTGTTTTAGAAAATAGAGTTTTCTTAATTTGTAGGGAATGATTTTTTCCAGAAAAAAAAAATACTATTTTTACGATTGAAATCTTATAGCATAACTTTGGATAGATGCAATATTAACAGCAAAGCACAACGATGTTATAATATAAAGTTTTTTAAACATATTTTTCTTATCCCATAGTATATTTGGGAAAAGCTAATACATAGAAAGCAAATTAAGAAAATGATTGTTTTTATTAAATTACAAATTGAAAAATAGATAATCTTTAGAACTTGCGACCAAGAGTTAGGTCAAGGGACAAAGTCCCATCATTGTCATCTCTTTCCCCTTCATCTTTGTCAGTTCCATTCAGTCCAATCTGCCAAAAGCAATCATATTCATCAATATAAAGAAATATTATTCTTAAAGTAGATGAACATGTGTAATATAACAACAAAATTCTTATCATTTGTACATAATGCATTTTGATAATCATGCATCATGATTATAACGTAAGAAATTGCTAAAGGAGAGAATCTTACTCTTGAAGATTGAAAGAGAGACTTGCAGGACACTCCATTGGTCACATTACTTGATTCTCCAATTTCGATTATCCTTGTATGCATCTCCTCTTCTTGGATACGGCTACAAGAGATTGTAAGAATAATTATTATTCAATTTTAAACGGATAAATATATCTTTAAATAATTGATGTTCGTAAATCAATATGGATTAAATAATATACGAACATTTGTTGATTTCCGCTGATGGCATATGTTCGAAGATGTTCATATTGACGAAGGTGGTGTTGAGTTTCCAGCCGCATCAGTCTTTGCCTTCGATTTGCTTGCCTCTCTTCTACATAGGATTACATGTGTATATACGGATTAAGTGATACATGTGTGTATACATTTTGTTTTGTTACATAAGTTTATAATAAATATACGTATTAATGAGTTTTGTTAAACTTCGATATATATGGTAAAAGCACATTAGAATGTTTTTGTTCTTGTTAAAGGGAGCCCATATAGAAAGTGGCCCCACAGAAAATACAATACTTGCATGACTGCATACGTAAAAAGGAAAGTGTATGTGATATTTTATTTACCTTCTCTACGCTCTTCCTGCTTGGTGTTCCTATACATCTGTTGAAGGCAAATAAATAAAAATTTCAATATTCAAACTGAAGACAATATAAAATATGATAATATACATATATGCATATTTATACTGATATAGACAATATCTTTCTGTATTCAGACCTGGAGATGACTCTTCACATGTGATATAGTGAGTCCTCTCATATTCATTAACTCCAAAATTCTCTTAGGAGTTGCTCCTGGATTTCAAAATAATTAATACCAGTATTCATTTAATTCAAAATAAATAAAAGAATGTTTCGACTGTAACACAAGATCTAGGAATGTTAAGTGGTTCCAAGGTAAAAAACAAACAAAGCTTGGATTTCCAAACCCAATCCCAAAAAATCAGTTGAAATATGAAGGTGCTAAAACACATAAAAACGGAGAAGAAATATCGATATTTTAGAATCAGAAATTGAAAATCATTTATATCATGATGATAAAAGAGAAAGAGCGGTCCCGGTGGCCGGAAACGATTTTGTTTCAAACTAATTTTCTAGTTAAAATATTGGACGAAACAAAAAAAAAAAAAAAAAAAAAAATTGTTTTACGGTTTTCTCCACCAAGTAATTCGACCGCAACAACAAAGTGGCGGTGGCTATCATCGTCCCATCGCAATCGCTCCATTCCCGACCTATGATAAGATCTAACACTCGGAGTATTCATCAAAACAAATTTCTGAACTCTTACTGTTATAAAAAGTTCCGATTACTTCCAATCGATTTATAGTGGTTGTAAAAATAGTTACCTTGTTAGAATATATTGAATAATTATGAAAAATTCACTAGAAAAAACTAATAAAGGTACTAATTAATATTATTGTAGCGTGTCATATATGTGTTGTTTCTTTTATACTTTACTCTATTTTCTTTTCTAAATTAAAGATTTTCCTATTTTTCTGTTATGAAAAATATAATTAAAATCAGTGAATTAGATTTGAAAATAAAATGTGTCAACTTAATTATTTAATTTTACCAAGTTTGGAATTTTGAAAAAGAACTTACTCTAAAGCTGAATCCATATACTAAAATTCTTTTAAACTCATAGCCAAAATTAACTAATATCAATTAAGAACATATATGATATATTTTATACCAAATTAAAAATATAATATTTTAGAAAAATTAATAAAATATTCTAAACATGAAACCTAAATACTAAATCCTAAAGCTAAATATTATGCATCCTAAGCCCAAAAGATTAATTTGAACCCTAAAAATCAAATCTTCAACCCAAAGTTGGTGTATTCCCTTGCTTATATTTAAATAATCTTTTTATTTATAAATTATTTATAAAAGATTATTTTTTAAAAATTATATATAATCTATTAAAATATCAATCCAAAAAATTAATATTAAATTTATTCATAATATTTCTGT